AAATCAGGATACTTCTGCCTCCTGGGAAATATATATTCAGGGGCTGGTAATGAAGTTATAAATATAGTGAAAAGGCTTTATTTTAGAAAGTGTCATAAGGGTTAGACCTGGAATGGACTTTCAAGATCATCTGGTCTAACCCCCTCATTTTACAAAGAAGGAAACTGAGGCCCACGGAGGCTAAGCAACTAAGTTCGGCATGGGCAGTGAGTGGCCTAGAGCTGAGATTTGAACCCATGTTCTCTGCCTCTAATGCTAGTATTCTTCCCATTGCTCCAGACTAATTGACTTGTGCTTCCTGATTAGTATTATGTTGATTTATTTTTAGAGGAGGGTTTCAGGCCAAATTTAAGTTTGGGCAAAAACCATGTTTTTTTGTTTTCTGAACAAGAATTTTCTTAGTGGGTAATAGAAATCCTGGTGGTTTGATAATGTGAACAGCCCCAAGTAGACTGCTACTCAGGCTCAAGTTTGCCTGGGTTCCTAGGACTTACATAGCAATTGTATTTCTTTTTTATTTTTTTCTCCTAGCAAACAAAGTATAATTGAAATTTCAAAGGGTAAAATTCATCATTTCTACTTCAAAAACCCCACCTTCTACAGGAAGCCTTTTGCTTTCTCCCTTAACTGGAATGCCTTCCCTCACTAGATTACTTCCAACTTATGCTGTATGTAGCTTGTTTGTACGTAATTGTGTGATATTTTCTCCCTCATTAGACTGTGGAGCATCTTGAGAACTGGGATTGCTTTTACTTTCTTTGTAACCCTAGAGCTTAGCACAGTGCCTGGACCATTGTCCATGCTTAATAAATGTTTATTGACTGACTACTCCCAAGGTATCTGGGATGAAGTAAAAAACAAACAAACAGGGGCAGCTGGTTGGTGCAGTAGAGAGAGCACCAGCCCTGATGTCAGGAGGATCTGAGTTCAAATCTGGCCTCAGATCAAACACTTGACACTTACTAGCTGTGTGACCGAGGGCAAGTCACTTAACCCCAACTGCCTAAAAAAAAACCAAACAATGGATCTGAAGTCAGAAAACTGGATTTGAATGCTACTACCACCATTTAGAACCTTGGACAAGTCACAACCTCTCTGGGCCTCAGTTTCCCCATGTGTAAAATGAGTGGATTAAGTGAGAGGCCTCTTAGGTTTCTTCCAACTCTATACCTCTGATTTTACCTGTGATCCTGGGTAATTCACTTTACCATTCTGGGCCTCAGTTTCCTCACCTGTAAAATTGAGGGTTTGTCTTCTAAAGTCCCATCTATGATCCTAAGGCAGTACAATGGAAAGAACAGTGGATTTGGAGTTTGGAGTCTTCCTCAGGTCTTCCATGACTTAGTGACCTTGGTCAAGTCCTTGCTAGACCTCAATTCCCTCCAGTGTAAAATGAAGAGTTTGGATGAGATGACTTCTAGGACAAAGCCTATTGTCCCAAGGGGACACAGCATGAAAAAAGATGTGAGTTCAGATATTGCCTCCAGCTCATTTCCACTCTCTACATTTTTCTTGTTATCCAGTTATACTTCTCCCCCTGCCCCTCCCCCACACTTATTCAATTTGAATTATTTTTCACACTCACTTCTTCTCTTGGGTCAAGTCTCCAAGATCCTGCCCCATCCAAGAATCAATCAGTTAATCATCAAACATTTATTAAACACCCAATGTGTGCCAGATAGCCTGGAAAAGTGAAGAGAGAATTGTCCTTAGAGCCAGGGTTCAAGTTTGCCTCAGACACATATTGGCAAGATGACCTTGGCTGAGTCACTTCATTTCTCAGTGACCTAGGTTCTCTAAGACTATAAATTGCAAAGAAAGTGCTGATTTGCATTGCTGGAGGGAATCCTCTTTAGGGAATCCTCCATACCAGTAAAATCATAGGTCTAATTCCTATCCCTATTGAGAGAAATGATTATTAATAACCAATATCTTGGGGAGATTCAGAGCTCCTCCCACTTCTTACAAAGTAAGTTCAGTTTTTAAGAACATTGCTGATGATGAGATTGGACTCACTTTCTCCTTCAAAGCCCCACCCTAGTGGAAACTACTGGGTTCTGCTCATGCTTGGGTAGGGTATACATTCTTTGAAATGATAGCCTAAAGCTATGGGTGGTCTGGTATAAAGATACTTTCCCTAGCCAAGAGACACTCAACCCTTCATTTTAATATAGCCCACTTCCATGTTAACCAATTAGATTTGATTGCTGTTTGATGAACCACCTATTGTTTAGAAGGGTCCGATTGTCTTTGGTCTAAGAGAGACGGCCAAATGACCATCTTTTTATTAATAACCCGACGGCCATATTAGTAAGATGATAAAATTATCCAGACACTATGTTTCTCTAACTTTTTTAAATGTCACACTATGTCCTAGACTCTGCAGAGACCAAAACTTAGAAGTGCAAAAATTTCTTCTCCCAGCGAGCAAGAAAACTCAGATTTGTCCCAGGAATCTCCTCAAAAGTATTTCAAACCCCTAAGCAGTTTTGAGTATTGGGTGGAGGGCTGACATCTAGAATTCCATCTCTTTGGGGCCATTAGTGACTTATAGAGTATGAGAGAACTTATTTCTCTCTTTGTATTAATAACTAATTATTGAATCAGAACCAAGTTTTTTTGCCTTTTCTCCTTCCTCATCCAGAAATCAACCAGTATGGGAAATCTCCGGCAAAGACTTACCCAACCAGGCTGAGAGAACTGGTGAATTCCTGTTCATTGTGTTTGGTCAGACAGGTCTGGGGTAGAAGTGGATTCTCTTTGATGTGTATATTGATAAGTCTCTTTGACCAATGCTCGAGTGATCCAAGTCATGAACCCCCAAGACCCTCATTAGAATGAGCCCACATCTCATTATACTATTCATTGTCTCATTAATTGTTAACCAATCGGAGTTGATTGCCACCCTCAGAAACACCAGATCTTCCAAGGGCATATAGACTATAAGCCCACCTCCATGAGGGGTCTTTGGCATTAGAGAGTGCCACTGACCTCTTTTATCAATAACATGCTAGCCTTATTCATAAAATGATTAAATTACCCAGAAAGTGTATCTCTCGAACTTTTTCAACATCACAAGTGTTATCTGGGGGCACTTTCCCCTTGTTATGGGGGTGATATGAGTCAGAGATAGGATTTGAACCCAGGTCTTCCCATGTCCAAGGTCAGCTCTCTAAAATGAGCCTCTCAGAAAGTTGGCAACACTCTGTGTCCAGTACTCTCTCACCCAAGGCAGAGAAGAATAGACCAGACAAGAACAGACACTATGTCAATCAACTTAAAAACTTTTAAAAAAAAAGAGGCCCCAGGCTTTGTATTGACTCTGGCAGTGAGGGTGAGAGCAGGACTCTCTGTTTCTCTACACCTGGAGGCTTGAGCCCTTTTGTACACATTGAAAAGCTTTCCTGAACACTGATAACTAGACCAGAACAGAACCAGTTACAGAAGACCAGCACGTGTTCTGAAGCTCACAGGGAGGATTGCATCAAAGTGAGAATACCGTGATGTTCCTAACCACTGGGCTTTCTTTGGCCAATGCCCTTTTATACCAAGAATGGCAGTATTGATTGGATTACTCTTCCCAGAGTGGGAAGTGTAGGGGAATCAACAAGAAGGTGCCACGTACTGAGGTTATGCCTGGGCTAGCTAGGCAGAAGTCTCACGGATCAGGAGCCCAGGGCAAGTGAGAGGCACAAGAGAGGGCTGGAGCTAGGAGTGCTTTTTAGCGTGATGATGGCTGGACAGAGACATTGGTGGGTGAAGAGGGAAGTATGCAAGTACATACTGACCATAATATAAATAGGAAGAACAATGACAGCAAAACAATTAAATCTAAAGGCTGCAAAAATCTAAGGACCCAGCCAGGCACGGTGACACAGACCCAGCTGCTGGGGAGACTGAGGCCGTCCCGTCTTGTAAACTCAGGTCAGAGTGGGTTAAGCCAATAGTGCGTCAGCACCCAGTCTGGCTTTCCTATGGTGAACCTTCAGGAGCAGGGAGCCACCAGGTTACCCAAGATGGGCCAGAATTGAGCAGGTCAATGCTCCTATGCAGATTGGACTGGTTTGGGGGCTTGTAAGCACTCCCTGCACTTCCAGCCTGGATGAGATTGGGAGACCTCATCCTTCCCATCCTTGGAGGATGCAGAGCTCTCCCATAAAAAATGTCTAAAGTCCAAGCGTGACCCCCCAAAGAAGAGATATGAGAAGGAATCTCTTGTAGCATTTTTGCAGGGGGTTAGAAAGGACATGTAACTGTGGAGCATTGCATATGCGGTCAGAATTTTTCAATATGTTGATCCATTATGTTGAAGTTGCTGTGGAGGGTGACTCTCAGAATGGGAGAGGGTAGGGACGCACTGGGAAATCGATGTGATGATGTATTTGAGAGTCACATGATTGATTATAGAAACCATGGGAACAGAAGAGATCATTAAAGGAGAGAATGCAATGAGAGAAAAAGAAGAGGGTCTGGAGCCTTGAGGAACATTCATGTTCAGGGAGGATTTGCACCCTTAGAAGGGATGAGGAGAGCTCCTGCACCATCCTCACCACTCTGAGAACAGCTTGAAATCAATTCTTTTTTCTTTCTTTCTTTTTTAAAATTAATTTATTTTGATTTATCAACAATCACTTCCACAAGCTTTTGAGTTTTACATTTTTCTCCCTCTCCCTCCTCACCTCCCTCCCCAAGACTGTACTCAATCTGATATAGGCTATACGTATACATTCCTATTAAACATATTTTCACACTAGTGATGTTGTAAGTAAGAATTAGGACTAATAGGAGGGACCACCAGAAAGAGGAAACAAAACGCAACAGAAGAAAAAAAGGAGCAAATAGTATGCTTCAATCTGCATTCCAACTCCATAGTTCTTTCTTTGGATGTGGATAGCATTTTCCATCATGAGGCCTTTGGAGATGTCTTAGACCTCTGCATTGCTGAGAAGGGTTAAGTCTATCAACATTAGTCATCGCACAACATGGCTGTTACTGTGTACAACATTCTCCTGGTTCTGCTCACTTCACTCAGCATCAGACCATACAAGTCTTTCCAAGTTTTTGAAATCAATTCTTGGCAGGTTATGGTTCTCTTGATTTTTTCTATTTTCTTTTCCAAATTTCCCGGGAAAATAAGATATCATCTTTATCCCTGTAAGATCTTCAGAGGATGAATCCAGACATTAGGTCTGCATGAAACGGGTATTTTCACTCCAGTCAGACCAATATCTTAGCGTCTTTGGAACAGTTTGCAATCAGATTGTTCAAACTGATGAAATGTTCTAAATAGGAGAAAAAAAAAGGAGAAAGGACAGAACATGTCGTACCCTGTCCTCTGCCCTCTGGCACTGGTTCATTCTTACTGTGCCAGCGTGAGAGTGTTTCCTTACAGGTCCTCCCCGAAATTTAACTCACAAATGTCTTCTTTGAGATTATTTCTGATCCTTTCTCCATCTTTTCATTGATTACAAGTATCAGTGGCTGAATACTCTGTTACCATAAGTACTATTTCTTGACATAGCAATAGCTTGGCTGCTAAAATGACTTCCTTCTTCCTCTAGGAGAAAATGCAAATCATCATTTAAGGCTCTGCACTGGTCCTGCCTAGCCTTATTAAACTTTTCTCACCTATTTATGCAAGTGACCTTCAAGTCAAACTAAATTATTAGCAGCTCCCTGAATGCTGCCCTCAATCTCCAATCTCCATGCATTCCCAAAGGTTGAAATACATTTTCTACTCATCTTTTTCTCCTTGAATACTTCTCTCAAGGCTTAACTCAGGCATAGCCTGTTTCACATACTCTTCCCTAATACTCCTGGAGAAAGTGTTTTCTCTCACCTCAGATATTCCTAGAGTACTTCACTGGGACTTGTCTTTTTTGACCTGCACTCCCTATGTCCTATGAGATGTATCTGTATGTGCAGCATCACTTCTGGGGTCACTCTCTCAGTTCACACTCAGACTTAACTGCTGTGTGCCCAGAGGGTGGCTGACTACTTCTCCCCTCCCTGGGTTTTGGTTGTAGTTCCTAGCCTCCGATATTAATCAACCAGAGGACAATAATTAGCTTTTACCTTAGCACAGTGCCTTGCATATAGGAAACACTTATTAACAGATTTTTAAAAAACTTGTTGATTAACAGAAATCTCTTTCCATTCTTGGAGGATGCTACACATTTCAGAGATCCTCCAATTTGGATCATAGGATTTTGAACTGAAAGGGACCTTCCTCATTAAGCTTCTAATCCAACTCCCTCGTAAGATAATAGTTTATAACTGCAAGAGACCATTGAGATTACTTAGTTCTTAATCCAGTGTTCATGAATTTAAAATTGATAACTATCTCATTGATTTCCTTTGAAATCTTATGTATTTTATTTTATGCATTTAAAAACATTCTTCTGAGAAGGGGTCCAGAGGCTTTCCATGCTGCCAAAGGGGGCCAGGATATGAAAAAAGTTAAGCACCTCTGATCTATTCTGATCCCTTCATTTTATAGGGGAGGAAACTGAAGTCTGGGGAGGTAGAATGACTTTCCTAAGGTCAGACAGGGAGATGGTGGCAAAACTGCAGATCTAGTTCCAAATTCTCTGCTTTGAAATACTCTGAGTATTGTTATTACACCATGTTAAAGGAGTATACATAAAGGGGGTGGATATAAGTTGACTTTGATGTAATGATAAAAAAAAAATCTTATCAAGTGGGTTAAATGGATCCAAGTAAGTGGATTAGTTTGATCTAAGAAAATGTACTGAGAAAGGAGGAGGCAGACAAGTGTAAATTACATTACAGGAAAAGACACAAAAACCTATTAGAGCAGAGGGAAAGAAGGGAGGGGGATGAGCATTGTTTGAACCTTCCTCTCATTAGATTTAGCTCAAGAAGAGAATAACATAATCAGTTAGGTATAGAAATCTAACTTGTCCTATAGGTAGTAGGAGGGAAAAGGGGAAAGAAAAGGGAGGGAAGAAGCAGTAAGAGTGAAGGGGAAGAAAAGGGAAAGGGATAATAGAAGGGAGGTGCGACTTAAGGAGGAGGGGATCAAAAGCAAAACACTAGTGAGGGGGGGAAAGGAGAAAGAAGAAAGGAAAAGCTTAAACAGGGGGAAAAAAGGATGGAGAAAAAGACACAGATAGTAATCATAACTGTAAATGTGAATGGGATGAACTCTCCCATGAAACGGAAGCATATAGCAGATTGGATTAAAAACCATAATCCTACAATATGTTGTTTACAGTAAACACATTTGAAAAAGAGTGACACATACAGGGGTAAAGGTAAAAGGCTGGAGCAGAATATATTATGCTTCAGCTGAAGTAAAAAAAGCAGGGGTAGCAATCCTGATCTCAGGCAAAGCAAAAGCAAAAATAGATCTTATCAAAAGAGATAAGGAAGGAAACTACATCCTGCTAAAAGGCACCATAGACAATGAAGTAATATCATTACTAAACATATATGCACCAAATGGTATAGCATCCATATTCTTAGAGGAAAAGTTCAGGGAGTTACAGGAAGAAATAGACAGCAAAGCTATACTAGTGGGGGACCTCAACCCCCCCCTCTCTGAACTAGATAAATCTAACTACAAAATAAACAAGAAAGAAGTTAAGGAGGTGAATAGAACATTAGAAAAGTTAGGTATGATAGATCTCTGGAGAAAACTGAATGGGAATAGAAAGGAATATACTTTTTTCTCAGCTGTACATGGCACATACACAAAAATTGACCATGTACTAGGGCATAAAAACCTCACAATCCAATGCAGAAAGGCAGAAATGTTAAATGCATCCTTTTCAGATCATGATGCAATAAAAATTATATGTAATAAATGGCCATGGAAAGATAGACTAACACAATAATTGGAAACTAAATAATCTAATCCTAAAAAATGATTGGGTCAAACAACAAATCATAGAAACAATCAATAATTTCATTCAAGAGAATGACAATAATGAGACAACATACCAAAACTTATGGGATGCAGCAAAAGCGGTTCTTAGGGGAGGTTTTATATCGTTCAATGCTTACGTCAATAAAATAGAGAAAGAGGAGATCAATGAATTGAGCATGCAACTAAAAAACTACAAAAAGAAGAAATTAAAAATCCTCAATTAAACACCAAATTAGAAATATTGAAAATCAAAGGAAAAATTAATAAAATAGAAAGTAAGAAAACTATTGAACTAATAAATAAAACTAAGAGCTGGTTTTATGAAAAAACCAATAAAATACATAAACCTTTGGTTAATTTAATTAAAAAAAAGAAAGAAGAAAACCAAATTACTAGTATCAAGAATGAAAAGGGTGAAGCTACCACCAAGGAAGAGGAAATTAAAACAACAATTAGGAATTATTTTGCCCAACTATATGCCAACAAATTTGACAATCTTAGTGAAATGGATACGTATTTACAAAAATATAAATTACCCAGATTAACAGAAGAGGAAGTCAAATACTTAAATAACCCCATCTCAGAAAAAGAAATTGAACAAGCCATTGATGAGCTCCCTAGGAAAAAATCTCCAGGGCCAGATGGATTTACATGTGAATTCTATCAAACATTTAAAGAACAATTAATTCCAATACTATATAGACTATTTGGGAAAATAGGTGAAGAAGGAGTCTTACCAAATTCTTTTCATGATACAAATATGATGCTGATACCTAAACCAGGAAGAGTCAAAACAGAGAAAGAAAATTATAGACCAATTTTTCTAATGGATATAGATGCAAAAATTTTAAACAAAATATTAGCAAATAGATTACAGCAACTTATCACAAGAATAATACACTATGACCAGGTAGGGTTTATACCAGGAATGCAGGGCTGGTTCAATATTAGGAAAACTATCAGCATAATTCATCATATCAAAACCAAAACTAACAGAAACCACATGATCATCTCAACAGATGCAGAAAAAGCTTTTGACAAAATACAACACCCATTCCTATTAAAAACACTAGAGAACATAGGTAAAAACGGAGTCTTCCTTAAAGTAATAAATGGCATCTATCTAAAACCTTCAGCAAGCATAATATGTAATGGGGACAAGCTAGAAGCATTTCCAATAAAATTGAGGATGAAACAAGGATGTCCATTATCACCACTGTTATTCAATATCGTACTGGAAACATTAGCTTTAGCAATAAGAAAAGAAAAATAAATTGAAGGTATTAGAATAGGCAAAGAAGAAAAAAAGCTATCATTCTTTGCAGATGACATGATGTTATACTTAGAGAATCCCAGAGAATCAAGTAAAAAACTACTTGAAATAATAAACAACTTTAGCAAAGCTGTAGCCTATAAAATAAACCCACATAAATCGTCGGCATTTCTATATATTACCAACAAAGCCCAACAGCAAGAGATAGAGAAATTCCATTTAAACTTACTGCAGACATTATAAAATATTTAGGGATCTACCTCCCGAAACAAACCCAGGAACTCTGTGAATACAATTACAAAACACTTTTCATGCAAATAAAGTCAGATCTAAATAAGTGGAAAAACATCAGTTGCTCATGGGTAGGCCGAGCTAATATAATAAAAATGACAATTCTACCTAAGCTAATTTACTTATTCAGTGCCATACCAATCAAACTACCAAAAATTATTTTATAGTTAGAAAAAATAATAACAAGATTCATTTGGAATAACAAAAGGTCCAGAATATCAAGGGAACTAATGAAAAGAAATGCAGGGGAAGGTGGCCTAGCCATTCCAGATCTTAAATTGTATTATAAAGCAGCAATCATCAAAACTGCTTGGTACTGGCTAAGAAATAGAATGGTGGATCAATGGAATAGGTTAAATATGCAAGACACAGTAGTCAATGACTATAGTAATATATTATTTGATAAACCCAAAGACCCCAGCTTCTGGGATAAGAACCCACTCTTTGAAAAAAACTGCTGGGAAAACTGGAAAAGAGTATGGCAGAAACTAGGCATAGACCAAAATCTCACACCATATACCAAAATAAAGTCAAAATGGGTACATGATTTAGATATAAAGGCTGATACTATAAGCAAACTGGGAGAGCAAGGAATAGTTTACCTATCAGATTTACGGAGAACAGAAGAATTCATGACCAAATAGGAGATAGAGAACATTATGAAAAGCAAAATGGATAATTTTGATTACATTAAATTGAAAACTTTTTATACAAACAAAGCCAATGCAACTAAGATTAGAAGGAAGGTAGAAAATTGGGAAAGAATTTTTACAACCAGTCTCTCTGATAAGGGCCTCATTTATAAAATATATAGAGAATTAAGTCAATTTATAAGAATACAAGTCATTCTCCAATTGATAAATGGTCAAAGGATATGAACAGACAGTTCTCAGATGAAGAAATTAAAGCCATCTATAGTCATATGAAAAAATGCTCTAAATCACTATAGATTAGAGAAATGCAAATCAAAACAACTCTGAGGTACCACATCACACCTATCAGATTGGCCAACATGACAAAACAGGAAAATGATGAATGTTGGAGAAGATGTGGGAAAATTGGAACAGTAATGCATTGTTGGTGGAGTTGTGAAGTGATCCCACCATCTTGGAGAACAATTTGGAACTATGCCCAAAGGACTATAAAAATATGCATACCCTTTGACCCAGCAATAGCACTTCTAGGGCTATATCCCAAAGAGATCACACAAATGGGAAAAGGACCCACATGCACAAAAATATTCATAGCAGCTCTTTTTGTGGTGGCAAAGAATTGGAAATTGAGAGGATGCCCATCAATTGGGGAATGCTGAGCAAGTTGTGGTATATGAATGTGATGGAATACTATTGTACCATAAGAAATGATGAACAGGCTGACTTCAGAAAAACCTGGAAAGATTTGTATGGTCTGATGCTGAGTGAAGTGACCAGAACCAAGAGAACATTGTACAATAACAGCCACGTTGTGTGATGACTAATATTGATAAACTTAACCCTTCCTGGCAATGCAAGGATCTAAGACATCTCCAGAGGCCTTGTGATGGAAAATGCTATGCATATCCAAAGACAGAACTATGGAAGTTGAATTGCTAGTGTTTTTTTTCTTCTGTTGAGTTTTGCCTCCTCTTTCTGATGGTTCCTCCTATTGGTTTTAATTTTTACTTACAACATCACTAATGTGAAAATATGCTTAATACAAATGTAAATGTATAGCCTATATCAGACGGTGTGCCGTCTTGGGGAGAGTGGTGGGGAGGAAGGGGGAGAAAAATTTTAAACCCCAAAGCATATGGAAGTGATTGTTGATAAATCAAAATAAATTGCTAAAAAAAAAAATACTCTGACAAAAACCTTTAAGTGAGGAGGTCAGAAAGTGAAACCAATACCTTACAGAGAGTAGTTTCCTGAACTGAAAGATTGCAGGCAAGCCAAAAGTTTGTTCTGTAATCCTTTTTCTTCATTTTCACATGACAGTGGCAAGGCACTCATTGTCTTCCTTGCCAATAGATTCCCAACCTCACTCCCAACACCAACTCTTCCAAACCACCTCTTCCCTCCCCAAAAGGGAAGCGGCCCCCCCCCCCCCCCCCCCCCCCCCCCCCCCGCCCCGTCTCTTAGTCTTATAAGAACATGCAGGCCTTCAACTTGAACTTCCTCTTTTTTTTTTTTTTTCCTTTCGGCTAAAAAAACCCCTAGATGTCATCTCCTTTTCTGTGGTCATAATTTGCATGATGTTTCCCCATTAGAATGTGAGCCCTTTGAAGGACCGGGTTGTTTTTGCCTTTCTCTGTATCTCTAGGACTTCTGGACACCCCCTTGTCTTGATCTTTTCCCCAAATCCTGCCCATTTCTAAGCTTCGCTACCACCATTTTCTGCTAGTCTCACAGGTTTGTAACAGAGGCATTATTCTGGACTCCTCATTTCCCTCACCCTAAATATCCAATCAATTGTCTAATCCTGCTATTTCTATCTTTGGTGTGCTTACTCCCATGCTTTTTATTTACTTATTTTGGTTAGGCAATGGGGTTCAGTGACTTGCCCACGGTCACACAGCTAGTAAGTGTTATGTGTCTGAGGCCAGATTTGAACTCAGGTCCTCCTGAATCTAGGGCCGGTGCTCTATCCACTGTGCCATCTAACTGCTCCTCTCCCATGCTTTTTAGCATGATGTTTTCAGCCGTGTTGTCGAATGCTTTCAATGAGGATGAACATGGCATAAAGGTCAGCTACCACGCTGATGCTAACTTCTTCGGCTTGAAAGGTTACAAGCTTTGACTGAAGCGGAGGGAGTGTTGGTGCATGACTTTCTGTTTGCAGATGATTGTGTACTCAGTGCAGCCTCTGAAACTGAGATGCAACAAAGTATGGATTGATTCTCTGCTGCTTGTGCTAATTTTGGCCTAACAATTAACACCAAGAAAACACAGATGCTCCATCAGCCACCACCGAAACATCCATAGGTGGAACCATTGGTTACAGCAAATGGAGAACTTTTGAACGCTGTGGATAAGTTCACTTACCTTGGCAGCAGAGCTAGCTCAGTATTTAGGAGGCTCCGAAGGAAGGTATGGGGAAAAAAGAGGTATTAGACTGACTTAGCAAACTGAAGGTCTACAGAACCATTGTGCTGACCTCATTGTTGTATGTATGCCTGTGAAACCTGGACAGCGTCCTAGCGCCACGTCAGGAAACTGCATTGCTTCCATTTGAATTGTCTTAGGAAGATTCTGAAGATCACCTGGCAGGATAAGATCCCAGACACCGAGGTCCTTTCTCGAACTAAACTGCCAAGCATTCAAACTCTACTGCAGAGCTCTGGTTGTTCAAACGCAAAAGAACATTTGCCGAAAGACCGTTTTATGGAGAACTCACACAGGCCGAGCGCTCTCATGGTGGTCAGCAGAAGCGATACAAGGACACTCTCAAGGTCTCTCTTAGGAACTTTGGAATTGATTGTGCGACATGGGAGACACAGGACTGCTCAGCATGGCATGCCCACACCAGAGAAGGTTCTATGCTCTCTGAGCAGAGCAGAATTGAAGTAGCTCTAGAGAAACACAAGATGCGCAAACTTAGAGAATCCTCCCCAAAGGTTCACACAGACTATTGGTGCTGGACCTGTGGTAGAACATTCCAAACTCGTATTGGTCTGATGAGCCAGCTAGCGATGCCATTTTGGTCCTCTTCGAAAACAGAGGACAGCAACCAACCAACTAATCTCGCCATTTCTATCTTTACAAGATCTCATACAACCAGCCCTCTTCCCTCACCATCCTAATTGGGTCCCTTATCGCCTCTCATCTAGATTACGGAGCCAGCCTCCTAACCGGTCTCCTTGCCTCCTCTGTCCCTACCTCAGTCCAGCCTCCACAGGGCTGCTTAAATGATTTTCCTTACGTGCAGATCCGACCAAGTCTTTTTCCTACTCACTCTATTCCAACGTCTCCCTGTTGGCCTCTGTTTGACTTTCACAGCCCTTCACTCTATCTTTCTAGCCTCATTAGATAGATAGCCCGGCGCCTGGCACATAGTAGGCAGTTAATAATAAATGCTTGCTGATTATTATTGGTGACTGTATTATTGATGTTGTTCTGTCATTTCAGTCGAGTTTGACTCTGTGACCCCTTGTGGGGTTTTCTTGGCAGAGATACAGAAGTGGTAACAACTGGTTAGGGGAGTGTGTGTGTATGCACAAACTTTTAAGTTTAATTTGAATCAATTAACATTTTCTTCATTCTAGAGTCAATCAATAAACCAATCAATCAAGCTCTGATTTATAGAGATTGCCCATTTCTGGAATGTAAATGATGACGCTGACAATTTAACCATAGGCTCTTGGATAGGGCATCCCTGGATAGAGAGAACTGAGTTGTAGTCAGTAAAAGGTATGCCAGGAGTACAAAAGCTGTGGTGCGAAAAACTTGGTTCTTGGTGAAAAAAGGCTGATTCTGATACGACCCAAGTCCAGACGGCTCGTTTCTAGCAGGTTGGCCACCAGATGGTGAATTTTGGGGGCCAGAGCAATCCGTGAAACAAAAAAAGTAAAAACCAGCATGTCAGTCCCATGAGGTCCCCTGCTTTGGGCAGCTAGGTGGTGTGGTGGTTAGAGTGCCAGGCCTAGAGTCTGGAGGACCCAAGTTCAAATCCAGCCGCAGACACTTACTAGCTGTGTGACTCTGGGCAAGTCACTTCACCCTGTTTGCCTCAGTTTCCTCATTTGTAAAAATGAGCCACAGAAGGAAATGACAAATCACTCCAGGATCTTTGCCAATAAAACCCCAAGTGGGGATTGCAAAGAGTCAGACACAACCAAACAACCAAACAACTCTAACAGGTGCCTTCTGGGCCTATTGGGAGCAAGGACAGAAGCAGGGGACGTCAACAGAGGGTCCTAAGAATCATAGTTTTTAGGTGGGCACCAAACATTCATTTAACAGTGAGAGTAAGTTGATACAATCCTGGAGGAATTGAGCCATATGAATATTGACATTTTGGCAGTAAAATGATGGCAGAAGATACAAGGAAACTGCTGGTAAATGGAGGGATGGCTCACGGATTCTTCCGCGACACACAAACAAGGCACGGGCAGCATTGGTGTTATTTCATGGCCAAAGACAACAAGAAACGTCATTTCTTGAGGCACCTGATCGTTTCATCTTTCAGAGCTCACAATGAGAGTAAGCAAACACTTAGACCCATGAAGACACTTCGTGGCTTTCTTTTAAATGGTTTTCTTATTACTTTTTAAAATAGCCCATTATTTACCTGGCCTCCACTGAAGCCTCCCTTGTAACAAAGAAAGATCCCACGCCAAACCAACAGCATTCTACCCTGGCAGTCCCCCAGCTCTCTCCTTACAAGAGGGATACATCAATCAATCAGCTAGTATATGAAGCAACGACAATGTGGACGAACACAACCCCCAGTAATTCCCCAATCAATGGGGAAACGTCTAATTTTTTTATTGTTACCACATGTCACGTGGCTATGAATATTTTGTTAGCTATGAGAGCACCATGAAAATCAGAAAATTCCAGAAGAACATGATTTCCTCCGAAACAAGTCCACCTATATCTGGATACTTGGAGACTTTGGGGAAGTGAGCACCAGAAGATATTGAAAACTATGATGGACATGGTGGTTTTGGATTAAGAAAGAAAAGAGTTTAAAGGATCGGACGCTACTGAGAAGCCTCAAAACTGCGTGCCAGAAATACTTTCTTGAGGAAAGGCGCTGGACATAGCAGAACACCAAACAATATTACTAAAGATGAAATTGACAGTTTACATATATTTTCAGGCTTTTTTGACATTTGGTTTAGTTTTACTAATTTTTTTCCTTTAAAAATATTATTTGTTATATGGAATGGCTCTCTGGGAAGGAGGAAGAGGAGGGATACTGGGAGAAATTTTGTTAATGTAAAAAAAACAAGAGACGAATAAGGTTTATTTAAAATAACAACAAAAAAAAGATAAACGACTCAAAGCTGGGAAAGAATTAGGTACTGATACAGTAGTCCTTTCTGATTCAGATATCTGTACTCAATCTTCACCCCAACCC